GAGTCACGAACACCTTCACTGTTGCTCCAAGAAGCGCAGAATTTTTAGTTTTTTACAGAATCCGGTTCAAGGGAACTGTTAATTTATGGCGAATTTTAGAGTTTGATGAAATATCACAAAATATTAGCACACCTTTTAAACCCAATCTGGGGTTGGGAGGATTAAATACAGTTTAAACGAATGAGTTGGATAAATCTTCGTGAACAGGTAAATGCCAAGTAGCCATGGAGACCAAACCGTTTCTTGCAGCATCCTGGAAACGTGTTTATTTCTGCATGTTTTAACATGGAGGTCAATGGACACTGATCTGCTGTGAGAGCCTCAAGTGGACATTAAGGGAACTGCATGTTTTTAATTTTTTTTTGTTTGTTATCATGATTCGACAGAACGCAAAGAAATGCTCGTCGATCCCAGTAACGGAGGAGGTGAGTAAAATGAAATGTAATTTAATGCCGGTAAAAACAGGAAACGTAAGATTGAAACCAAACGTTGTGATGGATGTGTTGTTTTTCTGTTACGTGTTTTTTATGCAACAGTCACATTTTCATCTGTCCAAGAAACAGCGCAACAAAACCACATGTCCTCAGTGGTCCCTGTGGTCGACAACGAGACTGGTGAGGAAAGAGTTTATCTCCATTGTTTTGTCATTTTATGTCTTGCTTTGTGTCTTGTTTTATTGTTTTGTGTCTCATTTGTGTTGTTTCGTGTCTTGTTTTTGTTGTTTTCTGTCTTGTTTGTGTTGTTTTCTCTTATTTCTATTGTTTTGTGCCCTTTATTGTCATTTTGTGTCATTTTGTATTGTCTTTTCTCCTTTTTATTGCCTGTAATTGTCTTTTTCTGTGTTGTTTTGTCTCATTTTGTGTCTCCATTTGTTGTTTTGTTTCTTGTTGTTGTTGTTTTATGTCTTGTTTTGTTGTTTTCTGTCTCGTGTTGTTTTGTTTTTGTTGTTTTTTGTCTTGTTTGTGTCTCATTTTGTCTCATTTCTATTGTTTTGTGTCTTGTTTTGTGCCTTGTATTGTCATTTTGTATTTTTTCTCCTTTTTTTGCCTGTAATTGTCTTTTTCTGTTGTTTTGTCTCATTTGGTCTCAATTTGTTGTTTTTATGTCTCGTTTGTGTATTCTGGCTTGTTTTGTAGCTTGTTTTCTGTCTTGTTTGTGTTGTTTTGTCTCTTTTGTATTGTTTTGTGCCTTGTATTGTCTTTTTCTGTCATTTTGTATTGTTTTTTCTCCTTTTTTTGCCTATAATTGTCCTTTTCTGTGTCTCATTTGTTCTCAGTTTGTTGTTTTATGTCTCGTTTGTGTATTCTTGCTTGTTTTTTAGCTTGTTTTCTGTCTTGTTTGTATTGTTTTGTGCCTTGTATTGTCTTTTTCTGTGTCATTTTATATTGTTTTTTCTCCTTTTTTTTGCCTGTAATTATCCTTTTCTGTGTCTCATTTGGTCTCAGTTTGTTGTTTTATGTCTCCTTTGTGTATTGTGGCTTGTTTTGTAGCTTGTTTTGTGTCTTGTTTGTTGTCTTCGTCTCGTTTGCGTCCCTGAGACCAACAGGGAAACTGCTGAGATAAATATTTATTTACAGCCAACAGCAGAATAAACCGCGACTACATTTAAAACCGTTTGTGACGCAGTTTGACGTCAGTTTGACGTCACATCACTTCCTGTTGTGCAATTTGGGTCCTTTCTATTATTACTCAAATCAAAACCTGCATGAACGTGCGCGACTGAAGTCATCTGTGAGGCATGAAGCTGCTCCTCTTTCTGCTGAGTCAGCTGTTTCGTGGTTTTGACATTTCTTTATTTTGTTGTTTGGCAGAAACGATCAATGAATCATCCGATCAGGACAAACCATCAAAGGAGTCCAGCGATGAACCCGGTGAGTAAACTGCAAATAAAGAATGTTCTGGACTATTTGGAGGCTGCAAGTCAAATATGCAGTTTGTTGAAAGGTGTTTGTGTTTGTAAACTGATTTCTTTTGTGTGTCTTCCTTCATCGTTGTGTTACATTAAAGCCCCCTGATAAATAAACAGGTCATGAAAAATGATCAGTAGTTATCGATGTCGACTGACATTAAACGTTTTATTGTGGAACGAGATCCAAAAACACACAAAACAATACGAACAAGACACAAATGGCCTAACCCTAACCCACACAAAGTGACAGGAAAAACCCACAACAGAGATTACATTGATATGTAAGAATTTCTGATCTCCTCATCTCACTGCATGATGTTATTTTTTAACTAGAAGTGACTTAAAACGTTCAGTTTGAACCGAACGTCTGCACCTGGACTGTGATCCAGCAACACAACAGCGACACCTGCTGGACCAACAGGGGTCCTGCAGCCACTTCAGCTTTTACTGGATTTAAAAATAAACATAAATCTGCAACTATTTCATCCATCCT